CCTCCGGGGGGAAATACAGAGCTAAATACAAATGGTTCTTCTAGAATATTGAGGGATGACATAGGCATCCTAATTATTGCCTTCTCTATATGTTATGGCTACGAGACTAACTCTAGAGGGGAAGCACTAGCATTGCTAGATGGTTTAAAAATTTACAATAATTTGGCTTTCATAGTGGATATAATAGAGTCAAACTCGACATTGGTGGTTACTTATCTTTCCTCTATTAATTTGTTTCCTTGGTAGTTATATTACATAAATCAAGAGTGTAGGGGATTGATTTTACCGCATACGATCATTCACCACACATATAAAGAAGGAAATATGATTGTAGATTAGCTATCTAATTGGGCTTATCCACATACATCTTCTAAAGTAGTTCTCAACTCGATGCTTTTCCTCCTACTTGTAAAGCTGCAATATCCGATGATAAGTTAGGTCTCTATAACTTTTAACCTTAATTTTTCAACACTCATGTTACTCGGTTAATATAAATGAAAAGGATATTAGCTTTCAATTATCATAGCTCCCGGTGAGAGATTATTTTTATAGATTATGTGATTTTATGTTATAGGGAACATTCCTATTAGTTTTCAAGAGTTTAGGTTTCCTTAACCTCTTAATATGTTAGGCTAGGTTGGTTTATCCCCCTTTGTATTCTTCCACTTTTATTGAATGTAATTATTAGGGTATCCCCCTATTTCTTAAAGAAAAAAAAGAATGATTCATGATAAGGATTTTATAACATGAAAAAGGATTTTCAAAGGATATGCATATAATTTATCATATGAACTTCACTTACATGCACATCATGTATAGATTAACTTATTTGGCTTTCACTCACCAAATTCCTATAGTGGTATAGATATAAAAAGTAAAGATGGAAATATTCACATTTAAGCCGACTACGAGAGGGACTCGCATGCCATATGTATCTTAGATGTGACTATAAGGTGGACTTTCTCCAGATTAAATTTATTTTAGTGCTTAGTATTTTGGTATATTTTTTAGGTGTGACATTTTTCTTTTGCATGATAGTCAAAGCTATGAAGAAATGAGTATTTACTTAAAAAAGAAAATGAATGTATTGAATAAGTCTTTTTTGCGGTAGGTGACATGGAATTAGTATAAGTAAATTAAGGATAGTCCGTATATTAATCAAAATATCGATAATAAAGTAATAGCAGCGTAGCTATAGTTAGTATAGTTTTCTTTAAGTAATTGTTTTACATACTAGTATTAATAATATAATAAGAAAGAAAACGTGAGAGGGAAAATAACAATAATAAATGGTAATTAATCGAGATAAAAGGAATTAAATGCCAAACAATGGGTAACAATTAAATAAATTTATATAGACTAATAAAAAAGAATTTAAGAAAATTAAGTGTCATAAATCTAGCTTATTCAGTCCAAGTAATTAAAATAAAATATAAAAATGTGAAAACTTTATAATACATTTTGGGTTGATATTTAGGATCTCGCCCGTCATAGTTTGCCATCCGTAGATAGAACCATACCCGGTAATGACATAGAAAAGGTATAATGCCTTTTTGACTTGCATTCATTATATTTCAAATGTAAGCCAATGGCATTAATATTCTCAATATATTAGGTCCTAAGTTAGGGGTGTTATTACTATCACCCCACCTTTCGAGGTACTATATGCACTTAGCTATGAACTCTTAAGTATGGAACATATAATTCCTATTTCTAACCATTTCAAAATCTAAACCTTAATTGTCTTCTTCATGTTTGGATTTAACCTTTTTCATTTTTAATAACAGGTTTATAATTATCTTTCATTAGGACTCTATGTATACGTATAGAAAGGCCGATTCTCGTAATATCCGATATAGTCTATCCCGTGGCTTTCTTTCTCAATCTTGAAACTCGCAATAGTTTATCAAGTTGAACATTAGTCAAGGAAGCATTCATAATCATAGGAAATGTATCATTATCTCCTAAACAAGCATACTTGATATTGGTAGGCAATGGTTTCAACTCTACCACTCGGTACTTGTATATGGGATAGAAGGAGGAATGGCTTACCATTTCCCAACTTCTCTATCATGTATCCCTTATGCCATGGAAAAAACTCTCTAAGCATCAAATGCACTTACCACTACTAAAACACTTAAAACTTTAAAGTGATTTATGGGTAAAACTTAACAAATAAAAATTATTCATCTATCTGTCTACTAGCTCTCTATAACATTTCGTGATTGTTAAATCTATGTATAAAGAGTTATGGCCATTTTAGTACATACTCGCTTTAGAGGCATCACTCGCTGGAATATTTTTGGGGTAAGGAATTTGGAATTTAAGGTGATGAATTTACAAAACAATTGTCGGATGGAGGGATGTTTAGTTACTTGAAATAAATTAGTTAGAGTGTTTAGTTAGTCTAACAAATTGGTTAGGACACATAAGCCCCCTTAATTAATGAATTAAGGTCAGCTCACCCAAAACCCATCAAACCCACCACTCTCTCTCTTGAGTCACCAGTAGCTTTTAACTCTTCCAAATTAAATTAAGACATTTGTACACTTAATTATACTAAGATTTTAAGCATGTATATACATATATAGACAAGTGAGAATGGAAGAAAATTTTAGGCAGTTGTAGCAACACAAAAGGGAGAGGAAAATGGTAAGGAAAGAGAGGAATAGGAAAGGAAAAGAAAATGAAAGAAAGAAAAGAAAGAAGGGGGAAGCCTTATAAACCTTTAGGAAAATTCAAGAAATGTAAGTAGGCTCCATTTATAGTTATTTTATGCCTTAAGTTATTTTTTTTAAGTGTTTATATCATGGGTTTGTAATAATTTTTAATGGTTTGCATGGTTGTTTATGTTGGTGTTAGGGTTTGGCAAATTATAATGGATCTATGTGTTTGTGTTATGATGCAAAGTTTGTTTGATGTGTTTAAATGTGTGGATGGTTTGGAAAGGAAAAGAAAAGAAAAGGGTAAGGATCGAATTGCTTAGAGCCAAACTAGATTTGGTGAGATTGACTTGAAAAGGAAAGGAATGCACTTTTAGAGTTGCCCTAGGTTAAAACCATTTGGCCAAGTGGGGAAAATTGGGAAAGAATGCATCTTTTGGGGAAATTAAGGACCTAGAATATCATGGTAACTCGAATTAGGAATGGGTTAATAGTTTAGGGTGGAAATAAATTCACTAGACATAAAAGGCAATCCATGGCCATCTTAACCACCCATTTGGCCTAACTAAAAGAAAAATAGGGTTTTAGACTTCATTACGTAAATTGGATATTTGATGGATAAATTTGGTTTCTTTTATGGACCTCAAGGTTTAGATCTCCTTGGTAACCTTTCTAAAGTATGGTTTGGTAAGTTATTGGCAAGTTAGTATAAAAGGAATTGACCTAGAAAGGGAAAAACAATGTCTTGCTTATTTTGGGACCAACCAGACCTAGAAAAGAAAATGATCAACAATGAATCCTTTTGTGTAATTAGAGATCAAGAATTAAAGGTGAACTCAAATAGAGACCAATTATTAGAAGACATATAAATGGAGTAATTGAAAAAAATAAAAAAGAGAATTCAAGAAAAATCGAGATTAAGACCTAGATCGACTCTAAGTCAACCTCGACTACTAAGATTAATGGTTCTAATTAAATAAGAGATTAGCTTAATTATTTCACACATGAATCCTTAAGATTAATTGATCTTGTAAACTAAGTAACATACCAAAAATCCGAGCCTAGACTTGCTAGGTACACGGGAAGGAAAACTCATTAAGTATGAAGTAGATTTATGCAATGAATGGGATTTGTGTTCTTGTTTTGAATACTTTGAATGGTAAATGAAACACTTGTGAAGTCCCAAATGTGCATCGGGACACGAGAATGGATTGAGAAGAAAATGCCGATAGCGTTATTAGTTAAATGTGTTAAACATAATACCATGTGCATCATGTGCATTCGGAGGTGGTATGAAATTGAGAAAAATCATTGAGTCATGAGATAGTGTGACTTGGTAACCGAATTGAATAGAATGAGTAACAAGCATGAAACCATATGTGTGCTCTATTACTAACACCGTTAAATGAGGGATAATTTCGCTATCCGTGTGCTATAACGAGGGATAACTCCATTGTAAGTAGTAGGTGATAATGAGGTCCCTAAGAGAGAGAGTAATAGAGTAGTAGGTCATAATACGATCACCAAGAGATGAAATGCACGATCTTGCTAGTACCTAGGGCATCCGAATTAAAATTGATAGGTAGAATTGAAAACATAATTTCATTGCATATCACGTTCATCACCCTACATACTAAGCTTCGGCTCACCCCATTGATGTTTTCATGTTATTATAGAAATGAATCAAAGTAGTATGGATGCTACTCGGGTCCTCCAAAAAGGCTCATGTGTGACACAAGTGTATCAAAATTTCTTTTGACTATAATTTTGGGGTTGGGTGTCAATAAATAGTTTGATAGTATTGTAAATAAATTTTGTAATTTCTTCAATTGTATTGCTAATATTATGTAAATTATCTTATACGTGTTTCATTTCATTATACGATAAGTTCTTAATATATGAGCACATATGTGTTTGAGGTTAATTTAGAAATTGGTCATGTCAACGTGATGCGCTCCTTGCCTAGCCACTCCTTTTGGGTATTTAGCAAGTGGGCCAAGGAGGGGTGTCACATCGGAATTTATCAAATAATTTTTAGGAGTTTTTATTAGGTTATTAGCCACTGAAAGCTCTTCCGTTAGCTCATTTATAGCATCAACTCAAAAAACATCATCAATAAAAGAAGGGTACTTAATAGAATCAAATAAATTAAATTCTACCTCATCTTTCCTAATTTTAAATGCTAACCTACCATTCTTCACATCAATGATCGTGTTTGTTATAGACAAGCAAAGTCGACCTAATATAAGCGGTATCTCCGTATCCGCCTTCATCTCTAGGATAATGAATTCCACTAGAATAATGAACTTTTTGGTCTTAAACAATAGGTTTTCCAAGATACCTATTTGGTACTTCACCGATCAATTAGCTAGTTGTAAGGATATGTTAGTAGGTTTAATTTCATTCATAGCCGACTTCTTGCACACCGACAAAGGAATTAGGGACACACTTGCACCTAAATCACATAAAGCTCGTAAAGGTCAAAATGACCAATGGTGCAAGGAATTGAAAAATCCCTTAGATTTCTTAGCTTTGGTGGAAACATATTTTAAATCACAAACCCTATTCCTCTGTCAAGGCTATAGTCTCATAATCCTTTAATTTCCTTTTTTTTTTTTTTTGACATGATATCCTTAAGAAATTTCCAATAAGCGAAAATCTTTGCCAAAAAATATATAAAAGGAATGTTAACATGTAACTTCTTAAATACATCATGGAATTTCTCAAACTATTTATCCAACTTGTTCGATTAAGTCTCTAAGGAAAAGGAATAAGGGGAACATACGGTTAACTTATGGTATTTGTACTTTATCGTGTAACTTCTTCTTCATCATCTACTCCTACTCGGTTGACTTGCTTCCTCATCTCCTATCTCCTTTTCTATCATAATGTTACTACCATGACTTACCTCTTCAATATGCTTATGACTCCTTAAAGTTACAACTTTACGGTGCTTATTTGGTTTCACTTCGGTCTTGCTTGGTAAATTGCACTAGCCATGAGAATTTATTACATTTGCTAGCTATCCCAATTGAACCTTCTTATTCCAATTAGATGTTTCCATCTACTTAAATTTTGCCTCTAAACTTTTAAATCTTTCGAAGTTACATTTGCTAGCTCGTTAATTGCTAACCCCTAAGTTGGCTTATTCTTTAGGTGGCTCGATTTTCATTAAATCCCGGGTGATAGAAGAGATCTAGAGCTATTTCATTGGTTACCTTGATCTCTCTACGATAAATTTGGATGATTTGTTAATTCTGAAGCGTAAGTGTTGGAGTATGAATTATGCCGATGCTACCTATTAAAGTTTGTTAGGAACTATGCCCGATCAACTTATAAAAAATCAAAACTCATGTCATTACCTCTATACTAAGTGTAATTAATCTCAACGTTAAGATTAGCAATAGAATTAACATTTTCTAACTTAGTAAATATTTTGATTAGGTTATCTACCTTAGCATATAGCATGTTAATGTCATCTACATCCTATATTCCTAGAGCTCACTTGGGCATACCTTGATGATTTGACCATTGGTAATTATTTAAAGCCATGTCCTTTAATAACTTAAAAGCCTCTTATAGAGTCTAACCTATCGTTGCTCCTCCTACAACTACATTTATGGTGATTCTAACTCAATGTGCTAAGCCATTATAGGGTGTTTACATTAGCAACCAATCAGTGTAAACCATGATATGGGCAATTCCTTTGTAGTTCTTTAAATCCTAGGCTTCATACAAAGGCTCATCATTAAACTAAATAAAACTACTAATATCATTTTTGAGTTTGCGATCTTACCTAGGGGGAAGTGCTTAAGAAGGCTTGCAACAATGCATTCCAAGTGGTGAATGAGTTAGGTGACTTAGGGTTTTGCCATGCCTTAGCCTTGTCCTTCAAAAAAGAATGGGAGCAAGCATAGTTTGATGGCATCTTTGATGGCTTCTTTCATCTTGATTGTATCGTAGATCTCCAAGAAGTTGGCTAAATGGCCATTTAGGTCCTCATTAGTTTGCCCCCAAATTGCTCCAACCGCACCATCTAAGTTAGACGAGGTTTAATCTCAAAATTATGAGCATTCAGCATTGGCCATGTAGCTCTAGTCTAGGCACCATTGACATTCGACATGGTATAATCTCCTAGCAACCACCGATTTGGGTTTCTATTATCTACCATTATTGCGACTTGTTTTTACTCCAACCTCTCGCTTCCTCCTTAATCCTTGAAAAGTCCATTCAATCTCTCGGATTGCTTTCCTCAATTTCCTCATAATTTCTTTGTTTCATACACTTATTAGTCTATAAGGGAAAAAGGAATAGGATTAGCTTCACTAAAACACTCATCACACCACTTTTAGATTATAATCCTTTCCTTCTTTTTTATTCTTTTTTCTTTTTTGTATTCAACAATAAAGTATACTTAATAGAAGTATATCACAAAAAAATCAAAGAAATAGTCTTTTAGGTTATCAAAACAAGCTCAAATAAATCACTATTGTCATAAATTTAACACAAAATTGCTTAGAAACAGAAGAAAACAATGGAATTAGGCCTTCATAGGGTGGGGCTTGTTGCAAAGCCACCGATTCCGATTAGCTCATCATTTCCTTCAAATAAATATAGACTTGTCACCAAATTCCATCAAAAAATTCCAAATGAATAATACCATAAAACCCGTTGAAACATAAAAAACTAATGAAACGGATTCGAAAACTCACTAATCAAAGCTAAAAACTATCATTTGACAATTTTTAATAGAAACAAATGAAAATAAATAATTCCTAAAGTACTACATGAAATCACATTGTTGATATCAAAAAAATCAGTATTTAGCAATGATGCCAAAATTTTACCTCCTTAAAACGAGACCATAAGTGGATGGATCGTTATCCGTAGTAAAGGGTGAGTCGAATATCATTTCCACGAGAAGAGAGTTCTAATTACCAACAAATGATTTTCGACGCTATCTTAACAATAAAAACTATGATTGGCGAATGTCTAAACTAATAACGTGCAAAAAAGATTACTATTAGATTATGAAAGTCCTAGGGGTTTGGATTTGTAACACCCTCAACCTAGGACCTATGTCCTTTCTATGGTTTTATTAGGTATGTTTTTTAGCTATGGAAGTCTATTAAGTAACTAATAGGTTCTACTATGCTTGCAAATTTTAGCCCAAACTCGCACTATTAAATTTTATTCATTTTATTTTAATAGTTTAAACCGAAATAACTAGATCCATGTCTCTCAAGTTTGTGAATTTTTTTTTCTATAAGCCGAATAAATTTATCTAGCTAATACACATTACTTAATAGTCTAACCTTTTTGGTTATTAATTATCATCTCTTATAAAATCACTAAACCATTTATTTTTATTCTTTCTTTATTATTTCCATGTTCATTTAATTATCCATATTATCATCAACAATAGTATGATGATATTTAATTAAAAGATAGTACAACTACACATTACTATTATATTATATAGTAAACATGTCCATAATTGGTTGACATACAACCTACTTTTCTATTTATATAGTAATTAGATTAGTACTATATTGTCTAACAAAAGTGGTTTTATTTTTTCACAAGTCTACTTTCCCCTTTTACTAGCTGACCATGTTTTATTCATTACCTTGACTATCACATAGAGTAAAGTAGCCATACCCAATACATACACCAAAATATTGATAACTCATAGTGTAAGACATGAAGTAGGTCTAGCTTACAGCCACACATAAGATAAACCTAAGGATAGATAGAAGAGTGCCTTTAGTAACAAGCTCCAGGTGAAAACATAGCCATTAGTTTTTATTCTTCACCACTACATAAAAAGAACTAGGTAAGCTATTGCTAAATAAGCTAATCATTCATGATATGCACATATGCAAGTGAAAGGTAGTTAAAAATCCTTGTCATGTCCTTTTTAAAAGCCTTTTCCTTTCAATGAAATAATTTTCTTGTTCATTCTAAAAAATCTATTTTGTCTTCGAACAGGACCAACCAAATGTATATCATATACATGTATATATGTGTTTTTCCCTTAATTCCCTCAAGCACTTCTCCTTTTAGGCTATCACCAATTCCCTTAATAGTCAAGGCCATTACCAATTTCCTTAATAAGAAATGCCATTTTCATCTATTGGGGCCTTTATAAATTTTTCCAATTAATAAATTCTTCAACTCGAGGCCATTACCAAAGTCCCTTAGTGAAGGAAATGTCATTGACATTTCCAATTAGTTAGAGCTATTACCAATTCCCCCAACAAGGAGATTCTTCGAAAGGAAATGCTAGGAGCCATGAAAACCATGAAAGATGTGAAAACCATAAAAAACAATTTCCTTTTCATTTGACAAATCATGAACGAAATCCTTTTCATGACTTGGTATGAACATGCATTTACGTGTAAATGTATAACTTCGTGGATCAATGTAACGCATTCCATGAGTGAGTGTGCATTTATACAATGAAATTGCATCCCTCAACATAATAAAATGCACATAAAATCCATTACTTTTTAATCCATCACAATCCATTCAATGTACCCGATCCAGATCCAATAAAAACATTCAACATAGTGTACCATACGAGTGTCACATTTATTTATACAAGTCATGAAATATACTTGGCAATATCATCAATCAACAAGACATTGTACCCATGTAAATCAATCATTCACATCATCTAATAAATGTTGGCAACCATGTCAAAGATACATAATTGCACACACCGAACACATGTATTGTAATTAATAGAAACTCTTAATTTAATCCATGGCTTGTTTGAGCAAATCCTTTCCCTAAAATTTTTATGTAAGGCCGAATATGCACCTACCTTAAACAAAGTGGATTTTTAAACTTTAATGCTATTTTTTATGCTAAATCATCTAAATATACTTCAATAACATGTAATCAATCAATTAAGCATCAATAAAACAAAGACACCATAAACTCTAATTTTCCTTGATTTGGTCGAATGTATACCTAGGTTAAACTAGGTAAATTTAATTTTAAGTTCAATTATCATGCTAAATAATATAATTGAAATACAATCACATGTTTTTAATCAATTAAATATTAATAAAAAAAGCTCTTAAACCCTTAATTTTCACTATTTTGGCCGAATACTACACTAGGAATAGGCTATGTAATTTTCTATTTTTATCACTTGTTTTCATGCCCAGTTAAAATATTCCATCACCAATTTCATTAATTTCAACATCCAAACCATTTCCCCCAATTTGCAAGTTCAAGAACCCTAACCCAAATTCTTTTAATTAATTCAATTAAACTTGAATTAAATGCGCAAAACCAATAATTCATTCCACATAAAAAATTCTTGTTATGTAAGTGAGATTAACTAACCTTAATTGCTCCAGCATTAACTCTTTTCAATTTGAATTTCCTTGTTAAATTAACTTCCTTTTTTCTCCTATTTTTTTCAACTCCTTCTTAAAATTTTCCTCTTTGCTATTTTTGATCTTCCAACTAAAATTTTAGGCTTAATGGAGTGGTTTAAGGATGTTTTTGGTTTTTAGGTT